AATGACATATATATTATAAACCTATTGTAATATGAGACGTATATAAAAAAAATGTGTGTGTGTGTGTGTATATATGTATATATATATATATATATATATATATACATAAAATGTAATATAAAAAATTTATATACACGCACGCATGCACACACACACACACACACACCCACACACAGTTGTCTTTCAGTATTTAGAAATTTGTTCAAAATCAAATAAATAGTATATTATAAAAGTGAATGCAAAAAATGTATGCACTCCTAAAAAATTTATAGACTTCCTAGAATATTCTTTTATATGCACACATTTGTCGTAACACTGCATCATTTAGAAGGAACTAACATAAAATTGGTTAATCGATGTTCATTTAATTACAGTGGCTGGATTAGTGCCATAGCAGCGATTGGCAAAAACAAAGCGGTGGGTGTCATCATGATGGTGGTGGCGGCCTTCTTCACGGCCACTGCTGCACTGTCGGTCGTTTTACTGAAAATGGTAGGTAGCTCACGATTTCTGAGTGAAAACCTGTGGATCTTTGGTTTGGATTCTTGGGTCATTGGTGCGATTCTTTCCCAGGTTCATTCCCACTACCGTCGCACCGGCGCCAATTTCCAGAAGGCACAGCAGGAATTCTCCCAAGGCGTCATCACGAACCGCACCTTCCAGACCGCAGCCGCCAACGCAGCCACCACAGCCGCCCAAAGCTCTCTGCAGAGGAACTAGAACCAGAAAGCACCACTGAGATCCTGCATCTCTTCCCTCACTGTTCCAGCGGCCCACACAGAACCCAAAGCCCAGCTCCGCTCACCTGCTTTGGTTCTGGATCTCGATTTGGACTGCAGAGGCACTACTTTCGTGTTTATTTTTTTGTTTGGAAGCAAAAGGTATGAAGTTCATCAGTGTGTTTGTATATTTGTATGTGTCCAGAAATTGTGTCCTGTATCCTTTTTGACCTTGGTTATGCTGTATATAAAGTAATTTAATATTTCCCCGTCGTCCATAGTGGTACAGGAGTCTCTTTAAATTAAAAAAAATGATCATGAAGGATCTCAACCTTATATGTGTATGTCATGAGAGTCTAGGGGCCTCATTTATAAAGCGTGCATACGCTCAGATTTGATCTTAGAGTGTGCGTACGCTTAAATCCACGCCAGCGCAAAAACTGTCTTTGACGTGGAAAAGTGCTTAGCGTCACGATTATAGATTATGGAGTTGTAAATGAAAGCTTTCATTCCTATATCATTTGATTTCCTGAAAACATTCTGCATTCCGTATTAGTGCCAAAAAATAATGATATGCGCCCAGAATTCTGTGGAGGCATGGCCATGTTTGCATAATTAGAATCTTGACAACCTCGGAATCTTGACGGACACAGAGAACATTACTGTTATTGTCTTAATCATAAGACTGAAGGTGGGATGTAGCTTTTTGCATTGGGTGTGTTTTTTTGATAACCGTGTAGAGCAATGTTTTTTCCTCCCATGTGTACGAGCTTATTTTAGGCTACTGATTGTAAACAGTCAAATCAAAATAGTTTGATTAGTACTCAGACTTAAATTTACTTGGGTGATTTTTTAGCTTTAGAAAGCCCTAACTTTTGAAACAAATGGGTAAAATGGTTTGCCATACAAAATGCCACTTTCTGGAAAGGGTTATATAATTTTGTCAGATGAGATCAGAAGATATTTTTCAACAGTGTAAGTACTTTTTTTTTGTTTTTTTTTTGAGCAAATTAAATTTTTCTGATTAACAAATTTTGTCCGAGTCCTTTTTATTTATGGTATTCAAGCAAATGCAGTGCATTTCGAGCAGAATTCTTAGTCGTGTGATCATATCAAACACAAGGAATTTCAGATATCCTTTATTAGGTTGTAGATACACTTAAAAAAAAAAAACTTGGGAAAACATAGATTGTCCAATTTGCTCAATAATATTATTTGAGAGCTACACAACAGAATAGTTTTTCTTCCAAACTTGACTGATTTCAATAAACGTAGTTCTATAAAATGTGCAGTCTACTAGTTTAAATTATGTAGGCGAAAGTAGGTTCAACAGCACTTGTTTTGCGGTTGACAACTAACACTGTAGTTCCCAGCATGCTGTGCATGGAACTTAAAATATATAGCAAAAATGTTGAAATTACGTATTGTGTTTTTAAGCAAAATGATGGGTGACTTGAGTGTTTAATGTTTAGTTGTTGCCATTTAGAAACCTGCTTTACTCAAGGGCATTTAATGCTTAGTGTTTAGTTTGCCAGTGTGCTGTTGCTAGCTAATAGTTAATTAGCAAATGATACAATATTACAATTTAGCATTGTGACAAAAAATATGAAACTGAATAAATCATAACACATTAAGACCCCTTAATTGGATCACTTAGAAATAACTGAACATGAAGTTACATGAACAAATTATGCTTGCGTAACTGGATTAATGTCGAACTGATGATAAAATAATGTAAATTCAACACTTTTTCAGACTTAAGTCCCATGTTCTTTGTTTTTAGCCAGCGGTGTCCCACAGGGCTTTGTATTTGGTCCGGTTTGATTCGTCCATAACTTTTTCATTGATTTATTTTATCTACCTTTTATCCATCAGTGACCTTCTAGATGTCTGAAATGAGCAGAGTACAAAATCAGCATTGATAATTAAAGTAATGAGCAACAATACATTGTAAAATAACTTCCAATGAATAATCGTTCCACTTTTCTTCAATGAACGTTGAACCGAAAAGCACAAGTATCTGAAGTATCAAAAAAAATGCAAATATGGTCTTATTTAATAATGTAACAAAATAAACAACAGTTAAATGTCTTTGAAACCAGCCGTTTACTTGTGACATCATTGTTACATAAAATGTTCATATTTCACATGGCATCAGCGATTCATTTCAAATCCAAAATATAAAAAGTGCAAATGACAGTTGACGGTACACCGGCCATACAACATGGTTTGGTGTCTTTTTTTCCTTTTTTTTTTTTTAAATCTTCCCCCATTATTGTAAACACAAACAACAACTGTATTCATAAGCAGACCTTGTTACAGCCACATTGACATTCATGACGTGAGAAACTGTACACGAGCAAGGCAGAGTTCGTCGCTGATATTTTCTTTCGCTCATTCTTTGGGAGAAGGGATTGGCTAAACAGCACGGTGATTAAACATGCATTCAAACTTTAATATAATAGAACATCACACTTCTTTCCTAAATAAAAAAAAAAGATATATATTTTTTAATAATGTAGCGATTTTACTACAATTCATATGATTTAAAAAAAAACTAAATTCAAATGCTAATGAAAATTGACAAAATTTGCAAATATATATGGACTACAAAATATATAATACATAAAATTACAAAAAAGAACCGGCAATTAAAATCAAAAACTGAAAATACAAAAATTAAAAGCTAATTTAAAATATTAATATAAACTATAATAGCATATAAATAATACTACAATAGCACTGCTGTGAATGTTTTAATGATAAGAAGATGAGATGTTTTCATGATGAAGCATTTACTGAAATACAGTGTGCCAGTGCGGTCCACCTCTACATTACAGGAAGTGAGACGTGTCTCCAGCACTCACCATGTCCAGCATCTTGCTGGTTTCTGATTGGTCAGGTGCACTGGGGACTGTTACTGCCATCGGAGCTCGAACTCGATTTAGTGTCCCGATAGACGCCATCTTCACGCTGGGCACTGAAACACAGACGAACATGCTATGAGCTCCACAACATGTGAAACTATCAACCACAGTGGTGCTTTGAAAACAGACCTGGCTGTGCCAGCAGAGGGGTGCTGGGTAATGCGGTCTCATAGGCGGGCGGGTTATGAGCGGAAACGGTGACGGCTGGCACAGCGAAGCTCTTGAGCGGGTGTGTGGGCCGAACGTGGGCCGTCGGTGGGTTTATGCTCGGCGGCTCTTCCTCTTTGATCACCGCCTCGGTCTTCTGCAGTTCAGCTGTAGTGTTGGGCTGACCGGGGGCAACCGGAGGTCCAGGTGCAGGGGGCTGATTCCTCACAGATTCTACACACATACACAGAAAACACGGAAATTACTATATTATATACACAAGTTTTTTTTCTGAGATACAATTTTATTAGGGGTGTAACGATTCACTCGTTTTCTCGTTGCATCGATTACAAACCCTGACGAAGCATGCATCGCCGATGCATCGATCTTGAAACGTGGATTTTTGAATCGTGAATCGTTGATTTCTGCCAATGATCGATTTAAAATGCTAAGAATCTAATGAGTCGCGATTTCTATAGCGATTAAATGATTTAAAATATACACATTAAATTACTACAAGCACAAATGAATGGGGACCTTGAACAGCGTTGTTTGTGTCCTCACATCTCCTTCACACGTCACAGGATTGTGCTCGCGCTCCGTTCGTAGCTCTCGCTGACTGGTTTTTGACCAGCCAGTGTGTGATCTCTCCTTAGTACTCGTGGACAGTACTGCTAGAGTACAGTAGTTTTGATTGACTGCCTGATCAGTTATTGCATGGACGGAGCCAAAACAATGTAAGTGTCTAAAAGCATACGCACAGTTCCATTGAATGAGAAATGCCTTTTAACTTAATGTCGTTAAATGGAATGTGTGAAGGAAACGGTTAAAATAACCACAGCATTAACAACAACCTTGAAATAAGAGCGCGAGGTTTATCTGTCAATCAAATGCTTGAAAGTTGCGTTCATTATTATAGCAAAAAGACATCGGGCACATTTTCTTTCAGAATCATCATTCACCGAAGGAAAGGTTAAATACTGTAGCATTTTATTTCATGAAAATAAGATGAAGAAACTCATCATGCAAAGGTGTGACATCAAATGTTACCCTATAGCCTACATTCACAGTATGCTACACAGTAGTTAACATGAAATAATACTTTTAAAGCCTTTATTTATAATCTTGGCTATACCCTAGTGAAAAATAAATATACTAAAATGTATCTGAAATAAAATTATTTATTTCATGCTAAGTATACTACAAATAAATAAATACTTTTAGTAGCCTATACTAAACTGGTATAAAGTGTGCTAAATTGGAAGTAGTGATGAAATCCAACTAAAGATAACCTGAAGCATATTTGATTATGCTAATGTGGAACTATTGCAAGTATACTTAAGGTAAAGTACACTTTAAATATCTTGCATTTAAAGACATTTATTATTCAAAGATCATACAATCCTCAAGTGTTTTTTTGCTCTCACTCTCTGACCCCATAAAGGCTGCTGTGTAATTTGCCCCCTGACTAAGCATGTGTCAGTAGTCTGAAGTTTGGTTAGGTAGTTTGATAGTGTTGGCACTCTGACAGTAGATACATTATAAATGTTACTCAATACTATATATAGTATATATATATTCTATATATATATACTCAATATATATATTACTATAATTTAAATTTATGATAATTTAAAATAATTTTATAGAGATAGGCATGATATAAAAAAAGCACAAAAATTGCTTTGTTTCAATGAAGTATGATTGATTGAATTAATTTAGATTTTACCCAATTAAAATTATAAATATAAAATACTAAAAATATAAAAATAGACATTTAACTATATAGTTATATAAATATTAACATAATATTGAAGTCCCGCATTTTACTATATTTTAATAATTAGTATTTTAACATATTGTTATATTTAAATAGTCTGTATTTTATATATACAGTGGGTACGGAAAGTATTCAGACCCCCTTAAATTTTTCACTCTTTGTTATATTGCAGCCATTTGCTAAAATCATTGAAGTTAGCATTAACAAGATGACCCGTTGAATTCATTTTGGGAGCGATGACTGATTGAATGTATTTTTAGTCCAGTGCCTGCATATAAGATTAGTATTGACTAATTAGTATTAGTATTGAAGTTCAGAGGCTGTGGATTAACCATGTTGTGTATTTTCAACAGTTTCAATATGAGAAATAACTTTTATATTGATTCAATGGATTTATTGCATTTTGGGGAAACATTTTAATGTTATTATAGCCTAAAGATACTATTTGAAAGTTTGAAACAGAAAATAGTAGTTTTCATCTCGCCACTTTCTTGGTAAAGAAAACACATTTTCACTCAAATTAATCAAAATGGATTTATAGCGTTTTGGAACCAAATTCTTTATATATATATATATATATATATATATTTATATTTTAACAATATGATTAGAACTTGAATATATAGTACCTTAATATTATTTTATTACATTTACGTGACCTATGGTAGTTGATGGGTCAAAACTTGTGATAGGATTTCAGTTGCAGCTCAGATCAAGAACTGCAGCTCAGTTGCAGTTCAGACTGAATCACCCTTTTTAATATTTTAAGATCATAACTATTCTCAAAGCTCTCTAAAGTAGATACATTACTCACAGTAACCATGGTACCATGTCCAAAGAACCTGAGTAATATGTTTATTTAATGTGTATCCTTTGAAGTACCATGTAAATAGCGCATGATAAATAGCGTCTGACAGCATCCCTGCGGTCTCACCTGCAGACGGAGGCCTGTCTGAGAATGTGCTGGGGGTGGCAGGCGCTCTCAGGCCGATCTGGTGATGAAGGTAGCCACGCGGCGGGAGGTGATAGTGATGATGATGGTGATGAAGATGATCGAGGGAATGGATGGGGTGAGCGCTAATCACAGCTGAGACACAAACACACACACACACACAGTGAGGTTGCCACGACAACACAGCACAACACATCTGTTCCAAAACTTAGTGAGCTACTTTGCTGTATTCTGCCTGCATAGACAGCATCCCTACTTAGGCAGCATTCTAGATGATACGCAACGTCTTAAGTAAGTGATTTGGAACGCTCTACATTGGCAGCAACTGTGTGCATCACATAAATAAATAGTTGTAGTTTTGATTTTACTATATTCAAATCATAGTTCTGAAAACAAAACAATAAATCCAAAATAAAATAACAGTTGGTAATGAATAACTATAATGAATAAAAAAAGGTTAAATTATTGATTTAAGCTTTCAGTGGTTTCAATAGTGTATAAATAATAATAGAAAAGTATTTCCATTTATTTATATTTTTATATGAAATTATTAAATGTTATATAATTTTAATACATTTTATATAATAAATTCTTTATATTTATTAATTTTATTTGCAAAATTTATTTAGGTAAATATTTTATTTTATTACCGTTTTAACGATAATTATGTATATGTACATATAAAATAGGACCTAAAATATAAATAAAATAAAAAACATTCTCAGTATGTTGCTCTATGATACTGTATGAAACATAATAAATACAAAGCAAATGCAAATATTTAGTAAAATTAGACTGAACTGTTAGATTGAATGCATTAGACTTATAATAATTTTTCTAAAATCGTCCACCGTTTTAAACGGATCTGAATGTATTACGAGGCTGCTTTGACTAGGAAGGATATATGCAATATGCAAATATATGCCGTCTTAAAGTGCCCCTACTATGGGTTATGAAAGGTTCATATTTTGGTTTTGGGAGTCCCCAACAACAGGTTGACATGCATGCAAGGTCAAAAAACACTTTCATTGTCTTATAATGTGCATTTATTTTTACCTTATTTGCTCAACAACGACTCCCAAACGATTCGATCAACGATTAATTTTTCCAAACCCCTCCTTTGCGTGACGCTAATCTGCTGTGATTGGTTCGATTGGATCACGCCTGTAATGCCTGATAAAGCAGCGTTTGTGAGCGCAGTGCTGCTTTGTGTAAAGCGTTACCGGGGAAACCACTATTATTACCGCTTCAAAAGCGGCACCTAGTGGCAAAGAATGAATTTGCATTTTCATGCAGACAAAGTTTTCCCGGGTCTGCGCATGCGCAACAAGTGGGCGGGCAATATGCTAATGTTTCATGTTGACGTCAACATGAAACGGCTTGGGATTCGTTTTAAAAACGATTCGTTTCATTGATTCAGAGTCGACTCTTTCTTTTGAGAAACAATAACTTTATACACGGTG